TATCACCAGGAAATGGGTCAGTAAATACATCGGCACCTCTGAAACGCCCCTAACATCGTAAAGGGATGATCTAAACTTTTTGTTAATACATATGTGGTCAATTTGATTAGTTGTCTTATGGTCTGGTGATTCCCATGTTGCCTTGTGTATTTTTTTATGGGGAAAAATACTTCCACCAATAACATACTGGTTACCTGCACAAAAATTTGTGAACAATTCTCCATTTTCATTCATTACTCCTAGACCATGTCTCCCCATAATTTCTTCATAACCTGTGTTGTCTGATCCTATCTTAGCATTCAAGTCACCCATCAAAATTTTTAAGTTGCCCTTTCTTTCATTATTTATAATATTTTGAAGCTGCATGTAAAATTCTTCCTTAACAGATGCATCTTAATCATTTGTTGGTGCATAACACTGTATTACCGACATGTTCACCTTCTGTTTTACTGTTCTAAAAGATGCTCTTATTATTCTGGGACTCACAGCTTCCCATTCTATTAGTGCTCTGTCTGCTTCTTTTGATAGCATCAGGGCCACTCCTTCACTGTGCGGCGAATTTTCCTCTGTGTGTCTTGAGAACAAAATAGTTTCTCCTGAATTGAGAATACTTTTCCCTATCCCAGTCCATCTAGTTTCACATAACCCCAAAATACTAATTCTATAATGTTTCATTTCCTTTGCTACTTCCATTGTTCTCCCTATATCATAGAGAGTTCTAACATTCCAGGTGCCAATTCTGGAGGTTTTCCTAGCTGAGAGGAGGTAAGTCAACGATCCGGACTCCTTACGGCTTTCTCCACACCGTGTCATACTTCTTCTATTTGAAGAGCCTCCCCTCATCTTGGTTGGCTGGATTTTACTTGCTTCTCTTTTTGACTTATCCATGGTTGGTTGGTTTTTGTGGCTATGGTTTTTACAGGATGAGGTAGCCAACCTCACGCCCAACCCTACCCTTAGTCGCCTCTTACGACATGCCTGGTAGGGTGCAGTGTCACTATTCTTTGCTGCCCATGAGGGCCCCGGTGACACACGGGCGAAACAATTACATTTTAATGGAACATAAACTATTTTACTTATCATCGCTTTATCACTGTGACAAGGATTGTACTCGTCCTAGTGACGTAAATATACTAGAGGCCTACATAAACGCGTACAGCTCTGACTTTATTGAGGTGAGGAGGGAGAGGGCTGTTCGGGGGGGGGGGGGGGGTGGGGCTGAATGGTCTGAGCTATTGTTTTTCTTTAGTTAGGACCGGGAGCTCAACACTCCCACCCCTCTCCCCCTTTTCCCAGATACTCCCAATTCTTGCAAAGAAAATTTGTATGACGAGGAAGTGGGAAAAGGGGGGGGGGGGGGAGAAGCGCGAATGTTTTCTTGGTGGCGGCTCGCC